GTGGTTTTCCAAAACCCGGCCATACGACCGTGTTGTCGCAACCTGGGGCCAGTACGATGGTTTTTGCACAAATTTGGGCCCGTACGAATGTGTGTTGTCACAACCCGGCCGTACGACTGTGGGTTTTCACAACCTGGCCAGTACACTGTAGTTTCACCCTGGCCAGTACACGGGGGTTTTCACCCGGCCAGTACAATGTGTGTGTCCAAATGGGGCCCGTACCTTGGGGGTTGCACAAATGCCAGTACTTGTGGGTTTTTCACAACCCAGGCCGTACGCGTGGTTGCCACAACCGGGGCCCGTACGATGTGGGTTGCCAAAAACCCCGGCCGTACGACGTGTGTTTCCAACCCGGGGCCTGACTGTTGGGGTTGCACAACTTGGGCCAGTAGTGTGTTTGCCCCAAACCCGGCCATACGATGTGTTGTACAACCTGGCCGTCACTGGGTTGTACAACTGGCCATAGATGGTGTTGTCCAACCTGGCCCGTAGATGTGGTTGCACAAAATTTGGCAGTCACTGTGTGTTTCAAACCGGCCAGTACGGGGCTGTTGTTGCCACAACCTGGAAAGTAAACTGTGTGTTTTCAAAAACCTGGGCCCGTAAGACGTGTGTTTTCACAAACGGCCCGACCACTGTGTTTTTCTACTCAGGGGAGTTCGACTGTTGTTTGTCACAAACTGGCCCCTAGACTGGTGTTGTCAGAAATGGCCGTAGACTGGTTGTCGCAACCCGGCTAGAATGCGTGTTGCCCCAACCTGGCCAGTACACTGTGTGTTTCAAACCTGGCCAGTACTGTGTTTGCACAAAATGGCCAGTACGATGTGTTGCCCAACCTGGCCCGTGATGGTTTTCCCCCAACCCGGCCAAGATGTGTTTGTCACAACCTTGGGCCCGTAGACTTTTGCAAACCCGGCCGTCAAAAGTGGTTGTACAACCCCGGCCCGTACGACTGTGTGTTGCCACAAAACCTCCAGTACGACTGTGTGTTCCACAACCCGGAGTACGCTGTGTTTGCCCCAAAAACCCGGCAATACGAATGTGGTTGTAAAAACCCGGCCCCTACGACTGTGTTGTCACAACCTCCCCGTACGACTGTGTGTTGCCAACCTGGCCTAGAATTTTGTTGCCACAACCGGATACGACTTGTGTTTTCAAAACCTGGGAGTACGATTTGTTTCCACAAACTGGCCCGTACCACTGTGTGTTTCACCCTCCATACGATGTGTGTTCACAACTGGCCCGTACGATTTTGTTGCCCAAAAAGGAAAAACGATGTTGTGCAACCTGCCAGTAGAAAAAGGGGTTGCCCAACCGGCCATACGATTGTGTGTTGTACAACCCGCCCCGTACATGTGTGTTGACAACTGGCCATCGTGTGTGTTCCCCAAACCGGCCCGTACGATGTGTGGTGTCCAAAATGGCCAGACGACTGTGTGTTGCACAACCTGCCAGTACACTGTGTTGCCACAACCTGCCGTCCGACTGTGTGTTTTACAACCTGGCCATACGAGTTGTTGCACAACCTTTTTTTGTCATGTTTTTGTCACAAACCAAAAATACGACTGTGTGTTGTCAAAACCTAGCTAGTACGACTGTGTGTTGTCACAATCTGGCCAGTACGACTGTGTGTTGTCACAACCTGGCCAGTACGACTGTGTGTTGCCACAACCTGGTCAGTACGACTGTGTTGTACACACCTAGAAAGTACGACTGTGTGTTGTCAAAACCTAGCTAGTACGACTGTGTGTTGTCACAATCTGGCCAGTACGACTGTGTGTTGTCACAACCTAGCCAGTACGACTGTGTGTTGTCACAACCTGGCCAGTACGACTGTGTGTTGCCACAACCTGGCCAGTACAACTGTGTGTTGTCACAACCTGGCCAGTACGACTGTGTGTTGTCACAACCTGTTCTAAAATTTGGGTGAAGGATAATGCAAGTCAAAAGCTTTTCTGTTGTGTTTATTTCGCTGCCTTTACACACAGGATAACAGGCCTTTGGGACTCCTGGGTTTTAATAGGTAACAAAAGAAAAGTACAGTAACTTCCAATAACAGCATACTAACACATACACAAGTGAAATTTTGTGTATGCAAAAATTTCGCAAAAATCATTCGGAACCTAACGGAAAAAAAATTATTTCATTGTGTTTGTTTATTATTAAATTATTGTAAACTTATCTAAAACATTTTTAGTTAAATTAGGCTAAATCAAATTAAAGTAAATTAAAGGTTAGGTAAGTTTTCTAAGGTTCTTTTAGAACAAGGTTATTAGTTTTTACATTAACATAAATGAAAAAATATATCTTTAAACGCACAGAGAAAATAGAAAGGACTCAATTTTACATGAGGTCTTGTTAACAGACCAGTTTCACCCATTCGGATATTGGGATATTGGCAGTTTGGAAGAGTATCTAATATTACTTCATATATGCTTCTAAACTGTTGTGTCTGAGCGCCTCTGCAAAGACAGTGATTATGTGTGAGTGAGGTGAAAGTGTTGAATGATGATGAAAGTATTTCCTTTTTGGGGATTTTTTTCATATTATGATAACGTGGGTGGCACCAGCGAGATGCCACTGACGTGTTATTCCCGAGTAGGAATAACCCCACCATGGTTACTGTCAGGGAGGCTGGAGTGGGAATAACACCACCATGGTTACTGTCAGGGAGGCTGGAGTGGGAATAACACCATCATGGTTACTGTCAGGGAGGCTGGAGTGGGAATAATACCACCATGGCTACTGTCAGGGAGGCTGGAGTGGGAATAACACCATCATGGTTACTGTCAGGGAGGCTGGAGTGGGAATAACACCATCATGGCTACTGTCAGGGAGGCTGGAGTGGGAATAACCCCACCATGGTTACTGTCAGGGAGGCTGGAGTGGGAATAACACCATCATGGCTACTGTCAGGGAGGCTGGAGTGGGAATAACACCACCGATGCTACGGTTAGGGAGGCTGGAGTGGGAATAACACCACCATGGCTACTGTCAGGGAGGCTGGAGTGGGAATAACACCACAATGGTTACTGTCAGGGAGGCTGGAGTGGGAATAACACCACCGATGCTACTGTCAGTGAGGCTGGAGTGGGAATAACACCACCGATGCTACTGTCAGTGAGGCTGGAGTGGGAATAACGCCACCGATGCTACTGTCAGTGAGGCTGGAGTGGGAATAACACCACCGATGCTACTGTCAGGGAGGCTGGAGTGGGAATAACGCCACCGATGCTACTGTCAGGGAGGCTGGAGTGGGAATAACACCACCAATGCTACTGTCAGGGAGGCTGGAGTGGGAATAACACCACCGATGCTACTGTCAGGGAGGCTGGAGTGGGAATAACACCACCAATGCTACTGTCAGGGAGGCTGAAGTGGGAATAACACCACCGATGCTACTGCCAGGGAGGCTGGAGTGGGAATAACACCACCAATGCTACTGTCAGGGAGGCTGGAGTGGGAATAACACCACCGATGCTACTGTCAGGGAGGCTGGAGTGGGAATAACACCACCGATGCTACTGTCAGGGAGGCTGGAGTGGGAATAACACCACCATGGCTACTGTCAGGGAGGCTGGAGTGGGAATAACACCACCGATGCTACTGTCAGGGAGGCTGGAGTGGGAATAACACCACCGATGCTACTGTCAGGGAGGCTGGAGTGGGAATAACACCACCAATGCTACTGTCAGGGAGGCTGGAAGTGGGAATAACACCACCAATGCTACTGTCAGGGAGGCTGGAGTGGGAATAAGACCACCAATGCTACTGTCAGGGAGGCTGGAGTGGGAATAAGACCACCAATGCTACTGTCAGGGAGGCTGGAGTGGGAATAAGACCACCAATGCTACTGTCAGGGAGGCTGGAGTGGGAATAAGACCACCAATGCTACTGTCAGGGAGGCTGGAGTGGGAATAAGACCACCAATGCTACTGTCAGGGAGGCTGGAGTGGGAATAAGACCACCAATGCTACTGTCAGGGAGGCTGGAGTGGGAATAAGACCACCAATGCTACTGTCAGGGAGGCTGGAGTGGGAATAACACCACCAATGCTACTGTCAGGGAGGCTGGAGTGGGAATAACACCACCAATGCTACTGTCAGGGAGGCTGGAGTGGGAATAACACCACCAATGCTACTGTCAGGGAGGCTGGAGTGGGAATAACACCACCAATGCTACTGTCAGGGAGGCTGGAGTGGGAATAACACCACCAATGCTACTGTCATGGAGGCTGGAGTGGGAATAACATCACCGATGCTACTGTCATGGAGGCTGGAGTGGGAATAACATCACCGATGCTACTGTCAGGGAGGCTGGTTGACGCTTTTGAATCCAAATCATGAATAATAACAATAATAATTAATAATAATAACATAATAATAATAACATAATAATAATAATAATAATGAATTATAATATATTTGCGACCACTGTCAGCCTCAGAGTTATCTCTGAGTTACCAGACCTTGCCACGTGGAGGCCAGTGGTTCGTCTTTAAGGTCCCCCCCCCCTCGCCTTCCCCAGGTTCATGTGTCCAGGAATTCATCCGTGGGCCCCCGGATGTCTCCCCTTCCTCATTTCCCTAAGGTCAGCCTCGCCTCTCTTTCTCTCTCTGCCTTCCAGCCTCAGCCTTCCCCAGGTTCATGTATCCAGGAATCCATCTGTCTGCCTCCGGATGTTTTCCCTTCCTCACTTCCCTAAGGTCAGCCTCACCAACCTGTTTTCTTGCTGTCCCCAGGTTCATGTATCCAGGAATCCTTCCGTCTACCGCCGGATATCTTCCCTTCCCTACTTACCCAAGGTCAGCCTCAACTGCATGTATTCTTGCCTTGCCAAGGTTCATGTATCCAGGGATCCATCCGTTCGCTCCCAGATGTCTCCCCTTCCCCACTTACCCAAGGTCAGCCTCAACTGCATGTATTCTTGCCATCCCCAGGTTCATGTATCCAGGAATCCATCCGTTCGCTCCCGGATGTCTCCCCTTCCCCACTACCCTTCCACTTACCTTCCTCAAGTTCATGTATCCAGGAATCCATCCGCTCGCTCCGGATGTCTTCCCTTCCCCATTTCCCTAAGGTCGGCGGTGCCTTCCCCGGATCAGTGTCTCCAGGAGTCCACTTATGTCACCTGAGTGGACTCCCTTCCCCACTTCCCCAAGGTCAGCGGTATTCTTGCCGTCCGCAGGATCATGTATCCAGGAATCCTTCCGTCTACCGCCGGATATCTTCCCTTCCCCACTTACCCAAGGTCAGCCTCAACTGCATGTATTCTTGCCTTGCTCAGGTTCATGTATCCAGGAATCCATCCGCTCGCTCCGGATGTCTCCCCTTCCCCACTTACACAAGGTCAGCCTCAACTGCATGTATTCATGCCTTCCCCAGGTTCATGTATCCAGGAATCCATCCGCTCGCTCCAGATGTCTCCCCTTCCCCACTTACACAAGGTCAGCCTCAACTTCACGTATTCATGCCTTCCCCAGGTTCATGTATCCAGGAATCCATCCGCTCGCTCCGGATGTCTCCCCTTCCCCACTTACACAAGGTCAGCCTCAACCCACCTTCCCCAAGTTTTTGAATCCAGGAATTTATCCGCTCGCTCCCGGATGTCTTCCCTTCCCCACTTACCTAAGGTCGGCGGTGCCTTCCCCGGATCAGTGTCTCCAGGAGTCTACTTGTGTCACCTGAGTGGACTCCCTTCCCCACTTCCCCAGAGTCAGCGGTGCCTTCCCCGGATCAGTGTCTCCAGGAGTCCACTTATGTCACCTCAGGTGGACTCCCTTCCCCACTTCCTCAGAGTCAGCGGTATTCTTGCTTTCCTTAGGATCATGTATCCAGGAATCCATCCGTCTACCGCCGGATGTCTCCCCTTCCCCACTTACCCAAGGTCAGCCTCAACTTCACGTATTCATGCCTTCCCCAGGTTCATGTATCCAGGAATCCATCCGCTCGCTCCCGGATGTCTCCCCTTCCCCACTTACACAAGGTCAGCCTCAACCACAACCTTCCCCAAGTTTATGAATCCAGGAATCCATCCGCTCGCTCCGGATGTCTTCCGTTCCCCACTTACCTAAGGTCGGCGGTGCCTTCCCCGGATCAGTGTCTCCAGGAGTCTACTTGTGTCACCTGAGTGGACTCCCTTCCCCACTTCCCCAGAGTCAGCGGTGCCTTCCCCGGATCAGTGTCTCCAGGAGTCCACTTATGTCACCTCAGGTGGACTCCCTTCCCCATTTCCCCAGAGTCAGCGGTTGCCACCTTCAGTGACCTCGCTGCATGGAAACTTGGGTTTTGTCTAGCGGGTCAGGGTAGAGACTGTCCCAGGTGGCGGGAAATTACGGGGGGTGACACACAAAAGAAAACGGGCGTCCAGTAATTACACCCCCCAAAGACACCGCGACCGAGGTCAGCTAACGCCCCAAGCCCCTCACAGTTCCCCCACCTCCGAGGGGCTAATTAACTAAATTTTGGAAAAACCCTTTTATATTACTTTAAATTTTAGTCTAAGACGAATTTTTCTTTTTTTTTTATCATTTAAAAGTTTTTGAAAATGTTTTTTTTAGTAGATAAAAATTTTCAAGTGTTGAAAATTTTTCCCACCTCCATAAAAAACTGTATTAAATTTTACCTGTTTTATTTTTATTATTTATTGGTCATTTTCATAACATTAAAAGACTAAAAGGCACAAACATACACATATAATGTATTTTTAATACTTTTATACCTTTTTCGGTATTTTGACGACATTTTTCGTGAAACATGTAAATATATAAAGACGCACACTTTTGTGACACTGTGGAGGACTTGGTTATCTTTTTTTACGATGTAAAAGAAATTGGGGAAATTTCCTTAAAAATTAACCCGCCTTTAAAAAGAGTTACCTCTTTTTTCTTCTTCTCGGCTACTACTACTTTTACTACAAACTACTTTACTACAAATACTACTACTACTACACTAACCCCCCACTACCCCCACCCCACCACCACCACCACCACCCCCACCCCCAAACCCCCAAACCCCACAACACCATTTACCAAAAAACATATTTTTTTTTACTAAACCACAAAATAAATTTTTTAATTTTTTACTTGTGGTTTCACGGGGGAAATGTTTTTTTCGATATGAAGTGAAGGAGAAATAAGTAGTTTTTAAAAAAACGCCTTTAAAAACATTGAAATTTTTTTAAAGTTTTGAACACAATTATTTCTAAATTGATTGTTTTTTATTTAAGGTTTTTAAATGATTTAGAAAAGTGAATGTTAATAATTAACTGCAACATCAAGTCTCAATAATTTTTTTCGCTTTTTTATTAGATATAAAAAAAGGCAAAGCAGGTACGTTTACAAAAACTTTTAGGACAAACTTTTTATTTTTCAAGGGTTTTATCAGTCAGTTGTTGAACTACTTGACAATGTGGAAAATGTGTTCTATCTTACACTCATTAAACAAAATATTGCTATAATAAATGGAAAAAAAATGATTTAAAATCCATCATTTGAGGGGGACTTGAAGGTGTGAAGCCCCAAAAACGCATTTCCTAGAGAGGGAAATTAACCTTCAAATGTAGCAAAAAACCCTGAAGCCTGACCCTATATATTCAACACAAGTTTTAAATATCATATATACAAATGGATGTAATTACCGGGGAGGACACACAGAAATCTGTGCCCAGAAATACATCCGCCCCGGGGAAAACTAGAAAATAGTCCGCCCGAGAGAAGAACTCCTCCCTGGACCACATGGGGAAGCCAGTTGTGTTTTTTTCGGGCTCTTTTTTTAAAAGTCATAGATTTTTATGTTCTTATTTTGGCTTTTCTGTATTTTCAGTCATGTAAAAGCGGATCCTGGTTTCTATGTGTAACTTCCTTATTTTTATTTACTGGTGTTATTGTGTTAAAAAATGTATCTTTCGCATCACACCGGTATTATTATAACGTCTGATATACTGCATAACAGGGTTAGCGTTTGTATTCATATATAATAAACTTATAAAAAAGAGTGATATTTGCTTTTCTAATTTACCCATTATAATAGTGACCTCTGGAGCTCATGTGGTGTTACTGTGATAAGCTAAACGTTTAAACTCTTGTATTACTGCATATACCCAAGTGATCTTTGTAATCTCTGACAGCACTAGCAAAGTTTTTCTGATAGTCTAGGAAAATACACCTCTTCATCCATTCCAAATCAATAGTTTCCTCCCTATATTAATTATAGTAACTTATAATACAGTGATTTTGTAACAGAAATTCAAATCTTTACCAGCCATTATACTGAATTTCACTTTTCCTGTAGCGACTTTTAACAAGTTTTGTTTACATCACTTATCCAAGGAAGCAGCCTTAGTCTAAACCGGGGGGGGGGGGAGGGGGGGGGGGGGGGGGGGGGCACCTGCATGGATGACACTTTTAAAACTCCTGTGGACCCTTTTGCTCCCATCTTAACAATTGCCAGCACAGTACGACTCCTTAGAGTGTGACTCCTCCTTTACTCTCACAAAGGTTTGCCCTCTTCTCTTTCAGTATCCTCACCTCTATCTTCCTACTCAGTTCCTTCCCAAGATCTTGTTTCAGGAATTCGTGCGTCTATCGATCTACTGGATACTTGCTTCCCCCCACTTTCGCGGGAGGTCCCAGTCCGACCTGCGGAATTGGAAATTATTTTCTAACTACGGTCGAAACTTTTCCCCTGTGGAGGTGAAAAAACAGGAGACAGAGAAATTTTGCGTCTAGAAATTACACCCACCAAACAGCCATGAACTTACAACCAATGACTCTCCCGGATATCGTAGTAACCAAACTTTTACTCATACTAACGTCGCAATATATATCTTTATTTAAATATATAATATATATATATATATATATATAAATATAATATAGTATAGAAATATATATATATATATATAATTATATATGATATATATATATATATAGATATATATATATATATTTCAGTTACGTAGCAGAAAAAGCGTTTGTCTGAATGTTTGTAATGTGTGTAAATGTCTGCCAAAATTCTTAAATCTAATTGTCAACCTCGTGGAAATTTGTTATAAATATTATTTCTTTTGTTCCGTTGTCTTTTGTGTAAGTACAGCACGCGCAGAGCCATATATGCGCGCGCACACGCACGCGCACACACAGCATCAAACACACACAACACACATACACACACACACACAAACACACACACACACACACACAACAACACACACACAACACACACACACACACACACAACCACACACAACACAATCAGTCCAGGAGGCTATGACACGATCCCTACAACCACAATTAAGGCGAGAACAAACACACACATTTTAGGGAGATAAGGGAAATATGAGGAAGGGGGTAGGGGGGCAATAATTAAGGATAGATACTAATAACAGAATAAGAAAAAACAAAATGTAGTGCAACATCTAATGTATTTGTTGCTGCATTGTGAATCCCTAACAGAATGTGATTTGTTGAACTACAAGATGGCCGCCAAGATGACGGATGTTGTGTATTTCTAGCGTAACACTGTGAATATTGTGGATGTTTCTAGCGTAACACTGGTAGTCTGTGATGTTTTCCAAGCGTAACCACTGAGAATGTTGATGGATGTAATACCTAGTGTAACAACTGCGTGAATGTTGTTGATAACTTTCCATGCGGAACACTGTGAATGTTGTGGATGTTTCTAAGCGTAACACTGTGCATGTTGTGGATAATACTTTTCCAGCGGAACACTGTGAAAGGTTTGGATGTTTCTAGCGTAACACTGTGAATGTTTGTGTATACTTCCAGCGGAAACTGAGAATGTTGTGGATAGTTTCTATTCGTACACTGTAATTGTTGTGGATACTTCCAGTCGGAACACATCTTGAGAAAGTTGTCGATGTTTCTAAGCGTAACACTGAGGAGTTTGTGGATGTTTCTAGCGTAACCACTGTGAGTGCAGTGGATTTGTTTCTAGTCGTAACACTGTGAAGGTTAGTGGATGTATTCTTTCGTAAACACTGTGAATGTAAGGGGGTGTTGGAAAAAAATTATGGTTTTTTTTCAAGCGTAACACTGGAAGGTTGTGGGATGTTTCTTGCTAACACTGAGAATGTTGTTGATGTTATCTAGCGTAACACGTGAAGGTTGTGGAGTGTTTCTAAGCGTAACACAGAGGATGTTGTGGATACTTCCAGCGGAACACTGTGAATGTTGTGGATTTCTCTAGGTAACACGTAAATGTTGTGGATGATTCTTGCGTAACACCTGTGAATGTTTTGGATGTTTCAATCGTAAACACTGGTGAAGGTGTGGATGTTTCTTTGTAACACTGTGAATGTTTGTGGATGTTTCTAGCGTAACACTGTGAATGTTTGTGGATATTTCCCAGCGGAACAACTGTTAATTTTTGTGGATGTTTTCCAAGCTTAACACTGTTGAAGGTTGTGATGTTTCTTGTGTAACACTGTGGATGTTTGTGGATGTTCTTGCGGTAACACTGTGGAAATGGATGTGGATGTTTCTAGCGTAACACTGTGAATGTTGTGATGTTACTTGTGAAACACTGGAATGTTTTGTGTGATGTTTCTAGTCGTAACACTGTGATGTTGTGGAATTTCCTGCGGAACACTGTTGAATATTGTGGATGTTTTGCTAGCGTAACACTGTGGAAAGGTTTGTGGATGTTTCTTGTGAAAACACTGTGGATGTTGTTGTGGGTTTTTCTAACGAAACACTGTGTGTGCTGTGGACGTTTCTTGCGTAACACTGTGAATGTTGTGGATGTTCCTAGCGTAACATGTGGATGTTGTGATGTTCTAGGTAACACAGTGAATGTTGTGGATGTTCCTAGCGCAACACTGTGGATGTTTCTTAAGCGTAATCACTGTGAATGTTGTGGAAACGGGATCCTAAGCGTAACTGGTGATGTTTGGCTGGATGTATTCAAGTGTTAAACACAGAGAATGTTGTGGATGTTTCTAGCGTAACACTGTGAATGTTGTGGATGTTTCTAGCGTAACACTGTGGATTGTTTGTGGAGTTTCTAGCGGTAACTACTGTGAATGTTGTGGATGTTTCTAGTGAAAAACACTGTGAATGTTGTGGATACTTCCACGGAACACTGTGAAGTTGTGGATGTTTCGTTCTAGTCAGAACACTGTGTGATGTTGTGGAATGTTTCTAGCGAAACAATGTGGATGTTGTGAACGTTTGTAGTGGAACACTGTGGATGTGTCTGCGGAACACTGTGGAATGTTATGAGTTCTAGAGTACCACT